GTGGGCTGAGCGCCGCCGTACAGTGTAAAAGTGTAAAAACACACTGGATTTCCCTAAGTTTACGCAGAGCACAGTGATGAGCAGCAGCCAGACACGGTTCTCTTTGATCCAAATCAGACTGTAGATGCCGGCCACAGAGAAAGAGAGAGAGAGAGAGAGAGAGAGAGAGAAATGGAGAGAAAAGGAGGGGGGGGGAGATAAGGGGGCAGAGAAAAAGAGAGAGATAGAGAGAGGGAGATAGAAATGGGGAAGGGGGCAGAGAAGGAGAGAGAGAGACAGAGAGAGGGAGAAGAAAGACAGAGAGCGATAAGGGGGGCAGAGAAAAGGAGAGAGAGACAGAGAAGGAAGACAGGGCGAGAAAGGGGAGAAAAAGGAGAAGAGGGGAGAGACAGAGAGACAGAAAGCGAAAGACACAACGAGGGAGAGGGAGAGGAAGGGGGGGGGAGAAGAAGGAAGAAGAGAGAAGGAGAGAACAATAGGGAGAAGAGAAAGATTAAAAGTGAGAGAGGAGAGAGAGAAAATGAGAGAAAGAGGGAGAGAGAGATAAGGGGCAGAGAAAAAGAGAGAAGGAAGAAAGGGGGGAAGAGGGAGAGAGAGAGACAGAAAGTGAAAGACAGAATGAGAGAGAGGGAGAGGATGAGAGAGAGGGAGGGGAGAGAAAGAAGAGAGAAGGATAGCAACAGGAAGAAGAGAAAAATTAAAAGTGAGAGAGAGAAAGAGAAAATGAGAGAAAGAGGGAGAGAGCAAGAGAGAGAGAGAGAGAGAAGTGAGGAGCAAGAGAGAGCAACAGAGAAAAAATGAGAATTATGAATCTTGAATCCAAGAGAGAGAAGGAGAGAGACAGAGAGAGAGAGAGAGAGAGAGAGAGAGAGGTGTGTGAAGGACTGGATTAGAATGCGGTTCTGGTATTGTATGTATGGAATGTTAAATGGAGCAATGGGGCTCCACCTGCCTGCCAGTCTGCCCCTCCACAGCCGTGTGTGTGTGTGTGTGTGAGAATGCATACCCTATACGTGCTTATGCACAGTCCGTCAGACTCACAACTCTAATTGCTTCACGGGCAGACAGCTGCATAAAAGATTAGTTGAAAACGCAGTGTGAAAGGAAGAGAGAGGCATGGACAGAAAGAGAGAGAGAAAGAAAGAGAGAGAAAGAGACAGAAAGAAAGAGGCAGAGAGACAGACCGTGCTGCCCATGCATGAGAGAGGAAGCCTGCGGGCATGCGGCTGCCTTCTTTCATTCATCCTCCTCTCCTCTTTTGCTCTTCCATCCCTTCTTCCAGCCAAAAATTTTCAGCAAAGCCGGCCCGGTCAGATGACCTGAGGCCATACGCCCTCTAATTGGACCCTTTGCATCCTGATTATAACAGGAGGTTATGAACGGACAGGAATCTGGCTGACGTGGTACATGCAGTGTAATATTCACTTTCCAGCTTTTTTTTTTTTGCCTTTTTTTCCTTTTACTGATGTATTGATCTGTAGAGAGGAGTGCTGCGCTGGTGTGGATGTTTAATTGGACGCAGGCCGGAGGAGCAGAGAGCAGAGTAGACAGACAGCAACCTTATTACACCTGCCCATGGACATTTACACAGGAGAAACACACATAATCACACCCAACGACGCAGTGGAGGAGGTTTACGCACAGTATCATAACCCTCTAAACCCAAAACATTACACTTTTTATTACTGCTTACTGCCTCACCTCCAATTTCCTTACAGCAATATTAGGCTACTGCTTCTCAGCCTAAAGTATTAGGAACTGTACATGTTTTATTTGTGAAGCACCTCATGGACTTGGCAACCAACTAAGGTTGGAGCAATGAGAGCCATGATCTGACAAACAACAGACACCAATGGATGGCAATGTGTAAAAATTACAATCCATTGTCCACTGGAAAAGTTGACCAGAGTGAACCACAATTGGAGACAATCTGGGGCAGGACTTCAGTCAGGTACAATCAGTGTTGTGAACAAGATGGTAGAGCTCACAGTCCAACTTTAAAGTGTGTGCACGAGTCTATCACGAAGAAAAACTGGCAGCAATTTTCACCTGTTTGAATTAATTTTCTGCTCTTTAGGAATGCAGCCTCACTCACTCACCTCGTCCCTCATTCGCTCCCTCACTTACGCATCTCTAGCAAGCTGAACGTTTCCAAAGTAGGGAGCTGTTAACACTGAAAGGGAGGAAACTAGTATGAACCTACATCAGCAGGATATCAGTAATGCACTGAAACACTCCCTACATAAGAAAGTGAAGGGCACATTTGACACGACTGCCGTTGCAGCACGACAACAACTATTTACTGATGTGGTAAACATTCACTCAATCAGAGGTGAGACGATCACAGAGTTGTGTAGAGGCTGAAAAAGCACCAGGGGTGCTTCACATCAATGACAATGCGTGTTCTTGTTATTTTCCGACTCAAAGAGATTAGACGAATTAGAAAGGTCTTGATAATCACTAGATGAATTGGATAAGGTGAGTAATGAAACATAATGTGAAGCAAATGTGCAGTGCATGGTGTACCCAAGACCAGAACTGAGAAGCATTAAGCAAATTACAATTAATAACAGCGGGGTGCAGACTGTGTTCTGACTGAGTGTTCCGTTCTTCGAGAATGTCACTGATTTTTTTGAGAAAATCACTGAGGCAAAAGCTTCACTCTGCGCATCCGCAGAGTGAAGCTGCTGAGAATCCTGACAGCGTACAGTGCTGATATCAAATCTATATCCTTCAGCTTGAGCTGAGGGAAGATGCCTTCGTTTCTCTGGCTTCAGCCAATCCAGAAAGACATTCATCATCTGACATAGCTGCCACTCATCTGTCAACTGCTTCTCCTTGTGTGTGTGCGTGTGCATCTGTAGATGTGTGTCTGCGGGCAGCCTACCTGAACCTCGCTTACACATAAGCTAAAATAAAAACACACTCAAACAGCATTCCCAAATGTCTGGGTGAAAATCCATACCAGAGTCTGCTTAATCAAAGCTTACAATTTGCAGCAAAACAACACAGCTCTCACCCGTGGCTCTCACTCAGCAGCCAGGCAAGACCGCTGCCGTGTGAGAGTGGTCCTGTGTGTAGCCCGACAGTCCTGAGAGTGTAATAGCAATCATATATTAGGCACATTGTACCTACACATTGGCCATTTTATCCAGTACACCGACCATTTAAGTGGCTGCTAAGCTGAGCACCAAAAGTTCAGCTACAGTGAGTAATTGTAAACCTATAAAATGCACCTATATGGCAGGTGTTTCTGATAAAATGTCCAATAAGAGTAGGTACAAGGTATGTGCATGTAATAAACGGGCAACTGAGTGAGGATCAATAGCTATAAAGCAGCATTTACGCACTATGTTTGTCCTGGGCAAAGAGTAAATGGGTAACGTGAAAGAGTTGGGCATTAATGGTAACTGCTGTAATGTGAGGGTACAAATACTTCTGGATGCACTTTAAATGCATTCCAGTCCCTCATTCTCATAACTATATGTCTTATATTACTTCATAGCAGTTCACAACTAATTTATAGTAGTTACTGAATCACAGGTCTTACGATGAGTAACTGACTAATAAGGTTGCAGCTTAAGGGAATAGCATGTAAAAAATGTTCCACAGAAATTAAACACACTGCACTTGGTGAGACCTAGTAACAAATGACCCATATACATGCACACACTGACCTACAAACAAGGCCAAAGTGTGTTAGGAACAATGGACAATCAGAAGGAGAGTGAAACAAGACGACAAGATAACACACTCTAGGGTTATCATGATAGCAGAATTTTGACTCATATGGAAAGTGGTATCACAGTCTTCTATACCAAAACAAAACTATGGCTAACACTTATCACCTGAACATCCAAGTGTTATCTAAAAGTAGTTTGTGCAATTTGATTAGCCTATCGGCAGAATACATCATCAACATCATTTAAGACATAAGTGAAAATCACTACTTCTGCATTTTAAGCTCTTCTCCTCTTCAAATGGCATTATCTATATTCTGTCATTCCACCTATTATGACAGGAAAATAGCAGTGTGGGCCTGAAATTTTGGTTTAAATGCAGCCTGACATGTAGCTGTCATGTTTTAAATCCAAACTGACCAGGATGGTTACCATGTAGTGACAATAAACGCAGTCATTAGATCATGGATAAATAAAAGTTAAAACATTCTAAAATAATATGCTATAATAAACGAATGAGCTGTTTAATTACAGCTTTAACAAATGTATTCATAAACAAATGTTTTCAAACAACATCCCAAACATTTTTAACCTGGATAAAATTTCTATACTGCACTGTTATTAGGCAGCGCAGTGCTGACATAGCAAGCCTTTACTTTAATTTAATCCTAAGACTCTACTGATTTACATAGAACATATTACAAACACACATGAAACATACAACATAAAACTTCATTTTGGCCAAACAAATTAAACGTCCTTTTGTCTGCACTAAACTGTACTTTAATGAATTGATTTGCTCTATCTATCTCTACAAGCGTGGGCCTCGTGGACCTCAATACTAAAAAACACAATGCCAGAAAAGATGTTTTAAAACAGAGAGGAAAAATAAAGTAAGGAATTTGGGCTGTGAGAACCCAAACATAAAATCTGAACCTGACAGGGCCCAACTGCTCACGTATATAAATATTTCAAGCTCTAAAAAACAGAACAAGATGGGAAAACAAAAATTCATGGATTGTAGTCATGAACTACCACCTTTCATGTAGTGGAGAACATCACAGTGCCACCAAGAATGTTCATGTAGGACATGGATGTGCATTTATATCATTAAAATTATTTTAAATGTGATAATTCAGTCAGTCATAGATCTGGCCATCTCTACGACTAGAGGGCGTACAAGAAGGGGCTACTTACAAAGTGCAGAAGATACAGAAGTATTAGTAGTTGGGGTGTTGAACTGATTCCTACACAGTCCTGCTGAAAAAGCATCTGATACAGCATGTCACACACGCACTCAAACACACTCCTTGTCCTTACCCTCACACACAGGGCAGCACTCTCCGGGCACGGTGACGGGGTTGAGGCAGCTATGGCCGCAGGCGGCCGCCACGCAGCGGGCTTCTCCACTCACACACTGGCAGAACGTACAATCATCCTCACGCCAGTGGTCACCATGAGCCAGGATCTGCCCATTCACATAGCAGCCTGCAAAATTCAGAGCTGGGAAGATAGGATCTGCAGAGAGAGGCAGAGAAAGACAGAGAGAATAATAGTCGGTGAAAGGAACATTCAACATGGATTCATATACTGGAGGTTGATATGTTGGGGCACGCAAACAGCGTCAGTGTAAACATCCAATAAAGCACTACACCCTGTATTACATTCAATACTCACCTCTCAACTACAGCTCTGACAATTACCTCAAATTCAGCGCGTCTAGGGTAGGTCATGCAGCCAGAGAGCAGCATCTCTAACAGCCTGACTCTACAACTCAGCCTTTTAAAACAGGTTTTGATCCATGGCATTGTATCCTTCTCTCATGAGTCAGCCTTGCTATTGGTAGCATGCTGCCACTGCTACAACTGCACTTCAAAACGCTGTAAGAACACAAGCTCAAAAGGGCAGCAAATCTAAACCTAAAAAAACAACGCAAGCCAAAAGTTTAATTTAAGTGTATCCATATAATCATAAAAAACACTCACACAGCAGAGTGCAGGGTTCGTCTGCTCTGCTAGACCTTCTACAGCTCCTTACGAGTATAAAAATGTAACTTTTTATCAGCATCGACATGTTGCTTGCTTGTAAAATTCACAGCGGTGAAATTCACTGAGCAAATACTGGGGGTGGCTGTAATGGTAACTTCATCTTAATTAAGCAGAGCGCTGCAGAATCATTAGGAAAACTCATCTCCACATGAACACAATCTGATAAGTCTAATATCAGCAGGCAAAGGTAGCGAGTTAATAGAAAAAAAGTAATATGGTGGGAAGAAACGTCTACCCAGGAGAGGCGCAGAGCAATCGAAATTACATGCTCCCAGGCACGCTATTACTGGTTGTCTACAAAGTAAAACAACAAGCAGTTCCCTGAACTAATTAACCCAGGACGCTTGTTTAATTGGGAGAATAAAAAGTATGCAAAGAATTCATCACGCGCTGCTGCCAAGTCCAGTCGTTAGGGTCCTCCCTCATGCTTCATTTTTAATGCAGTTCTTAATGCACTTCATTTTGAAAAATTCCTGCTGCCATTTAATTGCTCCAGCAGCTTGTTTCCGGTGGCGAAAGTGTTTATTAGCATTCTTGCTCGGAAAATCGCCATCTGAATCAATTTGAGCCAGACAATAAATAGGAGACGCAAAAAGCCCTTGGGCTGAGCCGTTCGTTATAATTCCTGTGACTGTAGCTGGGTTTGTTCTGGTGATTAGTGGGGCCTGTTCATGAAAAATGCCTTTTTTCTTTCTTGGAGTTTTTGATAAAAACTTCCACACTTTCAGTAACAATGTGATCTTGTTTTAGAGCTGCTTCAAAAGAAAGAACGGCCTCTCAGTTTGAGATCACATGCGGCTCTACTGAAATCTCCCTGCACTGAGGCAAGTGAGCCCTTATGGAGCAACTTGTTTGACGGCTGTTTAAATGCCTGTTATGTTGATGCTGATAACATGCAGTTACAGGTTGGGCAGAGTTGCTTTGATCATACAGTATGTGGAAGGGCTGAGTCCTTTTGACATTAATAAATGTGTGCTACAGATCTGAGGCTGTGCAGAGTAACAGCGTGTGATTTTAACTGTACATATTTGAAACTCATTTGTAATTATACATATTTCATTGTGCAAGTGTTTCTGATAATGATAATGCACCTGTTGACCAAAAGTATCCACACATCCTGTCTGATTAGAGAATTTTGCTACCTTTAAGGTGCATCCACTGCTGACATAGGCGTTCAATTATGCACTCACAGTTTGTATAATCTCCACAGAAAAGCACTGGCAATAGAATAAGATACTGGAGCTTAAGGTCACCATGTCCAGTGCAAAGCATTGCCAAGAGGGCTATTAACCCCCCAGCACTGGGCTGACCTTAGTAGCGCTCTCATGGCAATCAAATCCTCACAGCAATATTCCAATATATAGCGCAGTGGTTTTCAACAAGGGGCAAGGGGGCATCATCTTGGTAGAGACAGTGTTCAGTGTGATGCTCACTCTACCATGTAAAAATCTTCTTTGTGTTAAAGACACTTTTAGGATCGGTTAAGTCTTCTTGTGGGCTATAGGAGCTTTTGTAGTTGTTTGTGTGTGCTGTGAGTTGTAAAAGGCTGGAAACCCCTTATGTAATGTATAGCCCTTCCAGAAAATTAGAGGCTTATACTGCTGCAAAGAGAGGACAAACTCCTTATTAACCCCTTAACTGGTCAGGATCCACCGGAGTGCTCTTAACTTTTATTACCTTTAATAATCTAGGAACAGCAGTTTTCATTGTATTCCATATAGTTACTGAATAATAAGCCTTGAGATTTTAGGGGTCAATATCTATGATTTCAGAAGAAACCATGGATGAACAGGAGTCTGCTATTAACTTTTAGACATACATTGTACTCCCACACAATTTTAATGATTTATAATGCAACTGCAGACAAATCCTTGTATTTGATGAATAAAGATTCAAATTCATTTCAGGCCTTTGTTACAGGAACCCTTTACCCCCTCCAAAGAGCAATTGCTGCTAATAAACAATCAAAGACACTAGGAGCCTATTAGCATTGCCTAGAACAGATCATGCTACCTGGCACCCAACGGCTTTGATTCATTCTTAGTTACGTTTGATGAAATATTCCTTTAATCACAAGGACAGAGCTTTTGATGTGTGCTTATGGTCACCTTCACAGACGGGGCAGCACTCTCCCTCAGGTACGTAGTAGCGTTCGCAGTGGAGGACACCGCACTGTGCAGTGAAGCACACAGACACCCCACCCTGGCAGCGGCAGAAGCGGCAGGCGTCCATCCTGAACATGTCGCCATCGCGGTACTCCACCCCACTGAAGGTACAGGCCGGCTTGGTCTCTGCAAAACACAGACAATCCATTACCCGCTTATGCCATTACATGTCTGTAAATGCCTCATGGGCAGAACCAAATGGGCCGGAGAGAAGAGAGAGCGGGACAAACAGAGACGGGGTACACAGGGGCCCTCTCAATCATGGACCCAGTGTCCAAGAGCTTTTAGCAGCTGACTTTCAAACCTGCAATGGAATTGGTCTGTGCTGGTCACCATGGCAACGCTAGGTGCAAAATTCACCTTTCAGCCGGCGTGTTGCGCTGCCTGCAGTTGTACTGAACCAGAGAGCCGCACATTCATGCTTGAAAAGCCATTATCTCCTTTAATGTCACACCCAAACAATTTCAGCACCATTACATAGTAAGAGCAGCATCAGAACTCGAGCTTAGTTCTTGGAAATAGATTATGGTTTGTAAACAAAATACTTCAACAAAAAATGTAATGTGTCAGCTCATTTTCCTCTGTGCTTTATGTTCGTGATGGATGACGCTGAAGTTGTCCTTGAAAACATCCTCTGCGTCAAGAATCCTGCATTTCTGTGCAAGGCCGCCATGCGTTCGGCACATCTTTTACTCTGAAAGACTTGTGACAGTTTGAAAGGAATTGATTTTATTAGAAACCTGACATCCAAAGAAAACAACAACCCCTAACGGCACATATGAATGAGTTTCGTCACGCTCTCTGCTGTTAGCACGTAACAATCCCAGAGACTTGTTTGGTCAATTAGTAGTGGTTCAGTGAATTACACAATGAGAAGCTGCACAGTTGTCACACCAGCCAGGAAGGAAAGATGGCTGTACGGATTCGCTGGATTTTGTAATCAAAGCCTTTCTCTTCCATCTGTTTGCTTTCCTCTCTCTCTCTCTGTCTTCTCTTTACATCCCACCCCTTTGACGACTGCTATAGATAAGGTGCTATTTACAGGCCTAACGACCACAAATCCAAAACAGTGAGAAAATAACACACTGCTCATTATTTGATGTTAATAAGAGAATAATATGAGCTATAATTATTGACACAGAAATAAAAGAGAGGATAGCTCTGGGTCTCTGTGAACGCAAAATCAGCCAAAGTGGTGTGTATTGACGAGGACCTTCGTGATGACAAGTGGACGTGAATGATACAAAGGTGTCAACAATGCTGTTATTAGTCAGACAGTTATTATGACCAATTTAATCTGAGTGTTTCCACTTTGTAGTGCATGCAACAGGTAAACAAAGATTGCTGTGTGTCAATACAGCATTCGGTATGAGGATAAAATCTATGGCATGCTGAACACTAGAGACTGGTTACACCAACAGATGAATTAAAGATGAGTGAATATATACAATTACATTAAGGCAAAGCAACAGGCCTACAGCTTCAAGGAAAGAATACAAAACTAGCTGCACAGACTGTTCATATCACCACACAACATATTACTGTACTAGATGCTGAGTTGCCAGTTTATTAGGTACCTGCACTCACTGGCCATTTTATAAGAAACACCTACAATGTAGATGCATTTTGTAGGTTTACAGTTGCTGACTTTAGTTCATCTGTTGCTGCAAATATGTCATTACCCCCTTTACCCCATCTATCATTGAAAAGGGACCATCATAGGACCACCAGACATTAGTGGGGTGGTGGACCATTCTCAGCACAGCAGTCACATCAACAATGTATGCATGTACACTGAAATGGTGATTTGAGTTTACATGATTCAAATGTGTTGCACATAAATAAAGTAACATTACATCAACACAGCTGCTGTGTTTCCTTCTGTTTGCTTCTTTTGGCAAGAATTATGCAACTGACTGACACATTTAGTTTATGTAAATTCAATGCACTATTTTTTCAGTGTAGGTATTATAAGGTACAATATTGTGAAAAAGTCCACCCTTCATTTATTATTCATTTCCAGTCAAAATTGTGCAGGTGCAAGTTATTCATACAATATGAACTTTTCAGTACTTATTGAGTTTGCTCTTAATACAGCTTCCATGTTTGATTTGCAAATTTTGAAAGCTTTAAGTACTGTTTAGCTAATGATGACAGTTTTGGTGGTCTATCAGGTCTTGCATGGTTGTTAGGGGTCCCATTTCTCTGTATCTTTCGATAACTGAGCCCCTCCAAGGAAATACCATATATTAATCATTCCAAACTTTTTTGGGTTGTCAGTTATTTTGCTTTCTTCTCAACCTATGCTTTATTTACACTTTAGTGAAATATCTCCTGAAAAAGAATAACTTACTGTCATACTTACTGCCTGTTTTGACTGGAAATCACAAATAAATGAAGAGTGGTCTATGACTTTTGTAGAGTACTGTACCCATAAACTAACAACTGATTGCAGCAACTCTGTATACTTTCAATATTCTCAGGTAATATAACACTTGTTGGTTAATCTGGAGTCTGCTAATGGGACGCTCTTCCCAAAAAAAAAAACATCTGGAATACCATATGCCTATCTGCAATGAAAATAAATCAGCTCATCACATCTAACTGATAAATGGCCAGGCAGCTGGTTCGATGTAGGGAGAGTTTAATGAATTCAGTCCTGTGAGCAGTCCAGCATGGTCAGATTGTGGTGAAGGGTCAGGGGGAATGCTGGGAAATTAGTGAGGTGAGCCTGAGAGGCAGCAACAAAGGCATCCCAAACCTTCCAGATGTTCACTGCATGATTTCCCAGCCTCGTGGGCACAGTTATTTATAAATGAGACAGTTATTCTCTGCCATGCAGCATCAAGGTCCACCATTAGTCCACCAAGGACACGTGGGGGAACTGGCCTTGGAGCTGGTTTCTGCCTATTCTGTATCAGCCAGCAGACACAGGAAAAATGTACAACAAACAAAAACACAGTCATTTCTGAGTGTGTCATATTGTCTGCCAGAAAAAAAAAAAACGAATAAGTACATATTTTTCTTTGGTTTTATTTTTACAACATTTTAAATTGCCAGAAAAATGGAACAGAAAAGGCTCATAATTACCTCAAATAAAATATAGTTGCATCATAAGATGTTAAGATCCTTTTAATCTTCTCCTATAAAGTTACTGCTACTGAAAATACAAGATTTTCCTATGACAGCAATAATATGTCCAATTAGAGCTGTTACAGTCGATTATATTAGCAATTCAGTAATCAATTATTTACCTGTACTAATTAATTGGATGATTAATTGAATAATCAGTATTTTAAAATGAGTTCAAGCAACAAAAATGGACTTTACGGAACAATAAGACATAACAATAACCATGCAGAGCCTTTCAAAGATTTCAACATACATTACTGGGAAAACCTGGAAGCCTTTAAAATCATCATGCTAATCAATCACCGATGTATCAAGAAGGTCATTTTATATCACTGATTTTCTAAACTGAGCGATAATTTTTGACAAGAACTGAAGGGCTAGAACTGGATTTAACAAGTGGAGATTTCTCAGAAAGCAAACAGTGTGTTGAGTCCCACCTGCCTTGCCACTTAGTATGACCTCTCTAGGATAAAAAACAACAGACTAGAGATACGGCAGGTTTGGCTTTAGCGCTCCTGTAGCCGCATTCCTGTTTCTGAAGGGCATAACTTCACCAGTGGTGCAGAAACGCTCAGTTTGCCCCCCTGTGCTACAGCTATGCTTATTTCCTCCATGACCAGCTCGCCGAACAAATATGCTAAGTACGTCATGCTCAGATTCCTAAGCCTTTCTGCTGTTCTGTCGACAAAAGTGGCTGTCTGGTTTCAGAACTTCCTCCATCACAAAGGATTATACAACTGAAGCAAATTGCTTCATAGTTTTATGTAAAAGTCTCTGCCTTGGAACCCTCTGGCACTACAGACTGTGCTTCATGCAAAGAGAACAAACATGAATGCGGCCCCCCGCTACCATTCAGAACGTCATCAGAACAGTAATCCACTAAAGGCTCGGACCAAGAAAGAACTGCCGTCTGAATTTCTTTTGTCAAGGACATTACCAATGGACTGCTTTATGCAGCTTGTGCTTAGCAAAATAAACTTCACCCTACATTCCAGCTTTCAGAGCATGTGAAAGCAATGCTAGGAAATAGTCTTGTGAACGTGGAGACGTTATTCTCTAGTAAACAAGAGAGCCAGAAGAAAATCATTACATACTGTTATATGTCAGATTTACATTTAATTTATTGAAATATAATTATTTATCAAATACTGAAATTAGTAAGCAGAATGACATAATTACATAATATTTAGTTATTAACTGAATTGCATTCATATTGAATTTACTTTATGCATTGACAGGTTTGAGTCTGCAACTTTGGCCATTTCCTGTTTGTTTCAATGCCAGAAAATGACAAAAACATGGCAAAAATGTATGTGACCATTTTTCTTTCCACAACACAAGACTGCATGCCCAACGTTACCATTTTGTCACATCTTTATCCTCTTACAAACACAAATATGGTGTTGATTGAAAGATTAAAACCCTCATTTTAAAAAGTATTTCAATGAACTTTCAATTACAACATGATCTTGTTTATCACCAATTACAACTGTGACTTGTAAGGGTTTACAATGGAAATCACAGGAATCAGCAGAAGCACCCTAAATTTCACATCAGCACCTGCAGAAGTCCAATTGAGTGCATGAGATGGATGCTGCTGACTATGTAGTCTCTCTGAGCTGCTCAGCCGTAATCCCATAAGCGGCCCACCGTGCAGCCTGAAGGCAGGGGTCCAAAACAACCCACCCAATTCTGGCTACAGATTAAGCCCAGCGTAATTAAATTCAGCACAAAAACACCTTAATAAACACCTTTGTAATCAACTTTTGCACCAGTCTGTGCAGTCACAGCATTTGGCACTGCTGATCCACCACGAAGTGCCAAGAGCGCATGATTGTCAAAAAAAACAACAAAACATTCCCCCCGCAATTTCATTTCAAATGTGTTTGGTGAGTGGAACTCTGGATGGGGGGAAAAAAATTAATTGCTGTGCCGCAGGTGATGATTTCTAGTAAACCTTGCTTTGTAATCCAGCTCTGTCCTCTTACGGCTGA